ATGAATGTGTCATGCCATCATCATTTTATGTTGAGTCCTCCTACACAACAGACAGCGCTAGCTGCTGAAGATGGCACGAGGCTCAGGACAGCACCGCCGATGACATGCAGCTTGCAGTCCAGGGGCTGTGAGCGTGTGAGGAGTGGGGATGAAGCTAGAAAATGAGCCCTAAGAGAAACAAATAATTTCAGGAAGTGCTAAGCACAACAGAACAGGCAAAGCAAAGTAACAACAGTGGAATAGCCAAGCAAAGAGACTCAGCAAGGGTTAATTAGGTGGCACAGTGAGTATGACCCGGAGATGACCCTGTTAGAGGCAGTGGAGTGGAACCCATTTTTGTCTCATTTCCCTGATTGTTTTCAGAGGTCACTACTGTATTTGTTGCTCTCTGGTGGAAGAGAAAAAAACAAAACAAAACAAAACAAAACACATGTTAATCTATCCTGAGCTTATTGCTGAAACCCTTACAACAAAATACAGACTAAAAAAGCATACACATTTATTTAGTAAGTTTATTTTATAGCTTTTAAAGGAATTTTAATTATCATAATTTCACATCTTTATGTGTTCACATTGTTATCAACCAGAGCTGATTTAGACAGGATAAATATTTTTATATATGTCTATAAGATATATTTGTTTAAATTTTACATTCACAATTGAGAGAACTAAGCAGCAAATAACTATTCTGAAAAATGTGCAATTTCCTCAATAGAAATGCAAATTGAAAGAATAATATAATTTGATTTGTATGATTCCCAAACATTTGCCATATTTATATACCTTTTATTAGCATGCCTTACATGAAATGCTAGAATATACATGCTTTTTGATCGTATTCCACCCCTTCTTTGTTTAACATGCTTTGGAAATGAAGATCCAAAGACACAGATAAGCACAGGTATCTTTATGTTAGGCTTGGTAGAGTATGGGTAGTCCTGAAGAGATGGGAGGACAAAGCCATGATGCGATGATGATGATCTGGGGGAGACCGAGGAAGCCACATCTGCTCAGATTATTGTCTTCTCCATAACCTGTTAGCACCTTATGACTTGATTCAGAGGAGAAGGTGAGGGAAAGACCTGCAGCTTCTGCAGTTTCCTAAAATGCCAAGGGATCATGTTAGAATGTCCTAATCACTTTCATCTGCATACTTTTAGAGGTATAGCTCTTAGCCACCATGTGCCTAGACAGTTACAGCCCTGAGCCACTGACAAGACAGCTCCTATAAACACAGAGGGAAAGAGGGTGCTGTGAATGCTGACTAAGCAACCCGAGTCCTTAGCCTCCCCTCCTCTCCTTTATCATCCTCATCCTCACATACACCCCATGGTACGTTTCCAGGCTTTCTTCTGCTTTTCCGTTTAACTACTACCTCATTTTTCTCCTTGCACTAACTGCAGCATTATTTTGTTAAACTTTTTTCGCTTACATTTTAAAATTTCACAGCTATTGGAAGTTGATTTATAAGTGCTTAGAATTTCTACGGGTCTGATTGCAATAGGATTAAGTATTTTCCTTTGAGAGGGAGAGCCCAAAGTACCACTTAAAAGTGGTATTCTCTGGGACATACAGTCAGTTCTTTTGCAAGTATATTACGGCCATAGACATCTTTTTGTTAAGCATCTAGTTTTGATTTCTTGGAGTCATAGACTCGAGTTTTTATTAGCATTTAGAATACAAATCATTAGTGCATTAAGTATTATGGTTTTATGACTATGATACTCTTAACCCATTATTAGCAAAGACTAATTTATCTTATGAAATTGCACCAACATTTCGTTAGAAGCAGGTGAATAGCTATTTTGGAAAACAAGAAATCACAGCAAATATAATTTAAGTGGGAAGCAGCCAGACAGTTTCTAAAACTCTCAGACATCTAGAAGAGTTGTTTTCAACCTGTGGGTTGCTACTGCTTTGGAGGTTGAAGGGCCCTTTCACGGGGTTGCATATCAGATAACCTGCATATCATATATTTACATTAAGATTCATAAAGTAGCAAAATTACAGTTATGAAGTCGCAACAAAACAATTTTACGGTTGGGGGTCACCACAGCACGAGGAACTGTATTAAAAGGTCACAGCATTAGGAAGACTGAGAATCACTGGGTTAGAGGAAGTCAACAAATTCACACCTCCTAAAGGCAAAGGCAAAAGCAACGGGCATGCATGCTTCTTTTTGGTTTACTACTGAATGCTGGAAACACTGATTGTAAATACAGAAGCTCACAACCATCTTTCATTCTTGTGCTCAAGCCTGTGCACACAAGCTCATGGAAAAAAGAAAAATGGAGGTCCAACACTTTAAACAATTTCTACCCATTGTGTTTCTTGGGATGGGAAGAAACAATTTGCAGCCAGGGAGGATCATTTCAAGATCAAAGTCAAAGGATGAGCATTCCTAGTGCTTTTCAAAAGAAGAAACACAAATAACGATAAATATTTAAAGTAAATATTAAAAATATTAATGTCTTTAATCATAATTTAGGAAATTAAGAATGCTTTGATATTCCATCTAACCACAGTGAGAATGGTTATGATTAAGGGGAAAAAACCCACAAATATTGGCAAGCTGTAGGGTAGGAGAAAGTATTGTTTCATTGTTCGTACAAATAATTAAACTGGTGTAGCCACTAAGGAAGTAGGTGAGGAAGTTGCTCAAAACACTAGAAATAGAACTACCATATGCCCAATTATAGCATTACTGGGTATGCATGCAAAGGAGTATGTATCCTAGTGCAGAGATATTTAAAAATTCAGGTGTATTGTTGTTTCACTCACAATAGCAAAGAAGTAGAACTAAACTAGATGTACATCAATTGATAGATGGATAATGAAATATGCATATGCACATGGAATTGTATTCAGCGATTTAAAAACGTGGAACTGAAATTTGCAGAAGAATGGATCCAGCTGCAAAAGCGTGAATGGAACTAACACAGACTCAGAAAGACAAACAGCCACATATTCTTTCTCATATGCAGCTCTTGCTTCTACTATATACATGTATATATATGCATACATATTCAGTTATTTGGGAGTAAATGTAGGTATATATCATGAAACTAGAAAAGGACCACAGTGGAACTAAAGACACTTCAGAAGAGGAGTCATGGAAAGTTTAATAGAATACATGTGACGTGCAAGTGGGGTGAGGAACACTGGAGCTACAGGTGAAGAGCAAGTGTGGGGGATTGGGGAAGAGGGACTAACCAAAACACGTGTGTGTGTGTGTGTGTGTGTGTGTGTGTGTGTGTGTGTGTGTGTGTGTGTGTGAAAATGCAGGAAAAAAAATCCCTGTAACTTTGTATTCTAATTTTAAAAACCAGAACACTCGTAGATTGTTGAAATGTTAGAACTGGAAGGGACCTGAGTTGGAAACAGTCTAAAGTCCAACTTTCTATTGATTTCATACTTGATGAAAATGGAGAAAGGGAGATCTGATAAGGAATTACTGCACATAATAACTGGGTACAGTGACCCCAAACTGGGCACAAAAGAACAAGGAATAAGAAATGGGTACTTTGCCACATGTGTTCAATGTTGCTCTTTATGGAGAAATAGGATTAAGTACCTTTTTGAGAGAAAGTATTTCTTTTAGTTTTCTGCACTCAGAAACGAGGCTACACTAAAATAGAAGAAATTTTGAAACAAACTTTTGGGAACTAGGCCAAACTTCAAGATAATTCAAGTACATAGGGTAAAGCATTATGCTAATAATGAAAAACAATGTCTCCCAAATAAGTCTTAGAGGCATCAATGTGCAGTTGTCTGTTCTCGAGCAAGCCAGTCGTCTTTCTGACTTTGTCATCTATCTCCCATAGAGACAGACTGAGGCTGCAGTGTGGGTCACAGCAGTAATTCCAGCTCTTAAGAAGCAAAGACAGTACTCTATGCTTAAAACAAGAAGGAAACTATAAGAGGATGAGCTGAAAAGACAGTGGAGGATCTTTTCAAACAGCTGTTAAGAAAGGAGCATCAAGGGAGCATCTGCAGTTGATAGTTAAATTAAAGAATAGAGGGACTTCTTTCAACAATGCTCTACAGCCCTGGTTTAGAAACAGAGAAGGCTGAGAGGGTTTAGCCAGGGTAGATATTACTTTCTTTCTGTTTTATAACAATAATACCTCCATTAATGAGTGCTCTGGGAATAAAACCCTTTACTATGAAAACAGGCCATCTGCAAAACAAAAACACATCCATAAATCAAGACAGCAAAACATTTGTAGCCTTACGGCAAAATTGCTTGGTCCGCAGTTGCTTTCTGTCTTGGATCAGGATTCTACACTAGATCAACATGTAAGATCTGCAAAGATTATCTTCTGCCCCAGGTCCCCCTGACCGATTCCAAAGACCTGACATTTTTGTTAACTTCAGCGCCCCCTCCCCCCTTAGCAAACCTGGGACAGATTTGATGATCAGCATTGTTGCTGTTGATTGCAAACTGCTGGTGTCCCTCTTCCGTTTGTCCCTCTAGCTAGGGCTCTGTGTCTCCTGTGCTTTCCATCTGACTGTGTAATCATATTAATTTTTTTTTTCTTAAAGGAAAATTTTGTTTTGCAATGTTAGGTTTGTCCCCAGAAGGCTCCCATTCTGGTGGCTCAATTCCCTATGCTACTGAGAAGTGGGAAGACCTAGCAGGCTGTGAGCATTGGGTCACCAGAGGAACCATACTTAAAAGGCTTGATGCCCAATTGGAAAGAATAGTTTAGGACTCAAGGCACTAGTTGGTTACTGGAGAGTAGGTGATTATAAAATACTTTTCAGGCTCCCCCCCAACCCCCGCCTTCTCTCTCGTAGGTGACTTCATCATGTAACACCATCTGTCATGTTATGGCTGAGTCAGAAGGCCCTTCCAAAGAGTGGCAGGATGGGGCCCCCCAATGAATTGTAACCTTACAGCTAAGCTAAATTAACCTCCTTTCTATAGAATACCAGGCCTTGGGCATTTTGCATTAGAAACACCAAACAGACTGTGAGAGGTGTCAACTTAAAGGGGGATGAGTGCAGGTAATGGGGGTTGGGATCTGATCTGATCTGATCTGATCTGATCCAAGGCCAGAGAGGTATCTGGCATAACATGGCGAGAAGTACCAAATCAATGTCCCAGCATCTGCAATGACCTAGCTCTTTCTTTACGTGGCATAGGGTGGCATGGTAAAAGGGTGATGGGTCCCTAAGGAAGGAACTCTCCTGACCCCTGCATTTCTTGTTAGGTTCTACTCTCTGGGACCACACTGGGAATCAAGTTTTCAACACAGAAATCTTGAAGACAAATATTTGCTGCAAATCAAAACAACCCTGAGATTTCACCTTACACCCATCAGAATGGCCAAGATGAAAAACTCAAGTGACAACACATGCTGGAGAGGTTGTGGAGAAAGGGGAACCCTCCTCCACTGCTGGTGGGAATGTAAACTTGTACAACCACTCTGGAAATCAATCTGGTGCTTTCTCAGACAACTAGGAATAGCGCTTCCTCAAGATCCAGCCATGCCACTCCTAGGCACATACCCAAAAGAGGCTCAAGTACACAAAAAGGACATTTGCTCAACCATGTTTGTAGCAGCTTTATTTGTAATAGCCAGAAGCTGGAAACAGCCCAGATGCCCCTCAACTGAATAATGGATGCAGAAACTGTGGTACATCTATACAATGGAGTATTACTCAGCAATGAAAAATAAGGAAATCATGAAATTTGCAGGTAAATGTTGGGACCTGGAAAGGATCATCCTGAGTGAGTTGTCCCAGAAGCAAAAAGACACACATGGTATATACTCACTCATATAAACATACAACATAGAATAAACCCACTAAAATCTGTACATCTAAACAAACTAAGCAAAAGAGAGGACCATAACTAAAATGTTCAATTCCCATCCTGAAAGGCAAAGAGGATGGACATCAGAAGAAAAAGAAAACAGGAATCAACCTAGGAACCTGCCACAGAGGGCCTCTGAAAGCCTCTGCCGTGCAGAGTGTCAAAGCAGATGCTGAGCCTGATGGCCAACTGACGGGCAGAGTGAATGGAATTTTATGTAAGAAGTGGGAAATAGTAAGAGCTGGAGAGGACAGGAACTCCACAAGGAGAGCAACAGAACAAGATAATTCGAACACAGGGAACTTCCCAGAGACTCATACTCCAACCAAGGACTATCTGTGGAGATAACCTAGAACCCTGACAATGCAGCCATTTCTGATGAGAACTGATAGACTAAGATCAGAAATAAGGAGAGGAGAACCTCCCCTATCAGTGGACTTGGGGAGTGGCATGCATGCAGAAAGGGGGGGAGGGTGGGACCGGGAGGGGAGGAGGGTGGGGCTTATGGGGGGATACAAAATGAATAAAGTGTAATTAATAAAAGTTAAAAAAATACTTCATTTGCAAGGTGAGCCCAAGTAATCCCGGTAAAGAAGAGAAAGAAGAAAAGGAAGGATAAAAGAGAGTATAGTAATGATACTTTTGTTGTGATACTGTGAGGCTCAGTGCCACTGGACACCTGTGAGAGATGGTACAGAGCTATGTCTGAACAAACTGGGACATTCATTTGCCACGTGTACCTGAATGTGGAGGAGGGCTGTTCTTAGGTATGCTCACTCCTCAGTTCTGATCTACCCCGTGGATGGGCAAATTGCTGTTTTACAGCTAGGGAACCCTCCCAGACAGAGTGACGCAAATGTTTATGGTAGAAAACGCTAAGTGTGAGGAAGGCAGGCACCAGGAGAAAATCTACAATAGTAACTTGTCAGTATCTTTCAAAAATGTAAACACCCTTTCAAGCAGTTATGGCAGGTCTCCTATATAAACTTATGTACTTTAGAAATAAACACATATGCATCCACGGCATTCACTGCCCAATCATTTAAGTAATAAAACATTGGACACATCTTGGTGGCTGATTTTAGTTGGGGATTGTCCTGCCCCTCAGGCAGGAAGACGGTGGCCACAAAGAAGATGAAAAAGTCTCCGGAGTCGATCAACTCTAGGCTCCAATTTGTTGTGAAAAGTGGAAAGTATGTGCTGGGATACAAACAGATTCTGAAGATGATCAGACAAGGCAAGGTGAAATTGGTTATCCTCGCCAACAACTGCCCAGCTCTGAGGAAATGTGAAATAGAATACTATGCCCTGTTGGCTAAGACTGGTGTCCATTACCACAGTGGCAATAATATTGAACTGGGCACAGCGTGTGGAAAATCCTGCAGAGCATGCACACTGGCCATCTTTGACCCAGGTGATTCTGATATTATTAGAAACGTGCCAGAACAGACTGGTGAAAAGTGAACAGGAAAGATTTCCTTTAATAAACTTTACTAGAGATCCTTTAAAAAAAACAACAAAATATTAGACATGACCTCAGCATTCATCAGAAGGGAGCTTTTAAATGATCTACACTTGTCAACACCAAAAAAAAAAAAAAAAAGATAATAACACATTAAGTTTTTTTAATTCTTTTTTTTATTAATTACACTTTATTCACTTTGTATCCCCCCATAAGCCCCTCCCTCCTCTCCTCCTGGTCCCACCCTCCCACCCCCTTCTTCACACATGCCCCTCCCCAAGTCTACTGATAGGGGAGGTCCTCTCCTTCCTTCTGATCTTAGTCTATCAGATCACATCAGGAGTGGCTGCATTGTCATCTTCTGTGGCCTGGTAAGGCTGCTCCCCCCCTCAGGAGGAGGGGATCAAAGAGCAGGCCAATCAGATTATGTCAGAGGCAGTCCCTCTTCCCATTACTATGGAACCCACTTGGACACTGAACTGTCATGTGCTACATCTGTGCAGGGGTTCTAGGTTATCTCCATGCCTGGTACTTGGTTGGAGTATGAGTCTCTGGGAAGACCCTTGTGTTCAAATTTTCTGATTCTGTTGTTCTCCTTGTGGAGTTCCTGTCCTCTCCTTCCACTTCTTACATAAGATTCCATGTGCTCTTCCCAACAGTTGGCCATAAGTCTCAGCGTCTGCTTTGATAGTCTGCAGGGCCTTTCAGAGGCCCTCTGTGGCAGGTTCCTAGATTGTTTCCTGTTTTCTTCTTCTTCTGGTGTCTTTCCTCTTTGGCTTTCAGGATGGGGATTGAGCATTTCAGTCAGGGTCCTCTCTCTTGATTAGTTTCTTTAGCTGTATGGATTTTAGTGGGTTTATCCTTTATTACATGTCTATATGAGTGAGTATATACTGTGTGTGTCTTTCTGCTTCTGGGATAGCTCACTCAGGATGATCCTTTAGCAAGATGCATAATGTTTTGAATACAGCAGTATGCTGCCATACATGAGGTGCATATTTACATACGTTCTTTCACATATGCATAGGGTATCACTGCGAAAATACCAGTGACTAGAGACAATGATTGATTGCTTTGCCACAGAAACTGAAGGTAAGAAGAAAGGCAGATGAGATGAAAGAGTAACATTTTAAAATAGTAATCTGTTCTATTATGTGATTTAAGGACATCTTGATATGTAGTTTCACTTAAGAATTTAAAGTTTTGAGTGGATTGGAATTCTGTTTGCAACTGTATAATGGGTAGCTTCCAAAACACAACCTGTTCCCAGTGCCCATTTTCTACCTTCTAATCCTAAAGAAGTTGAATCCCAAGGGATGGTGACAATGCCCTGGTGTTTGGATTACTCCCCTCTAAGTCAACAGGAGAGTGACTGCCGCCAGGATTCTCTCTGTATTACATTTTAACTATGTTCAATTCTTTCCTGGGACTCAAAGACATAGTGCCTGAAAAGTGTCAAAACAAACTCAAATGACAAATGACAAATGAATTCCAGCATAGGCTAGATTAAAGGGTCTTAAAGAATTGTTTTGTTTTATTTTATCTGTACAGGTAGTTTGTCTGTACATACATATGTGTTCTGCAGGCATGCCTGGTACCCATGGAGGTTAGATGAAGGCATAGGATACTCTGAGAGGAGTTACAGATGACTACGAGCCTGCATATGGGTGAGCCTCCGTGTGGGACCTGAACACAAACCCTCTGCAAGAGCAGCAATGCCCTTAATCAATGAACCCTATCTCCAGCTTCTACTAAATGTTCTTGATTGTAGGCCGTGAGTAGCAATGTTCTCCCCCTTGAACAAAGCCCTTGAACAAAGGCCATGGCATGCTAGAGCCTCTTCTGGGGTAGAACATTTCAGCATCTGCCTGGGTATTGTGGTGCCACAGAAAGTGTCTAATTAGCATGGATCCTTATTTTGAGGAACAGAAGCTTTCTCCAGGGTGCTACGGGTAGAGGAATTAATTCATTTTTATGAAACTGACAAACTGTATTTTTCTGCTGTCTCAGCCTCTGCATAGAAAGTGGGATTAATCAGCTGGTTGCTCAATTCACTGAGTTTTGAGAGCCACATCTGATCTGAAGGGCCCAGACTGGATGGCTTTCTGTTTGTTTCTTTGTTTGTTTCTTTTCTTTCTTCCTTTGCAAGCAGTATGACTAGAGATGCAGCATTCCAATTTCTCTTTGTTTGGAGTCACTTAATAATAAAGACAAGTGTCATAATTTCCACATGGATTATTGCAATAGCCACTGTGAATGTGTTCTGTTCTCCTCTCCAGCCATGCACTTTTACATTGTATATCAAGATGTGGGCATAGTGATCCTTGTAAAACATATATTTAGCTTAAATGGTCCATGTCTCCCTCTGTTTGTGGACAAGGCACACAAATGAATATTCAGGTGCTCTTGCTGATGTGTACACATACAGAAGCCAGAGCAGGACACTAGATGTCTTCCCTGTTGCTCTTCACTTATCGCCTGGAGGCAGCATTTCCCATTGAAGCAGAAGCTCACCTTTTCAACCAGGCTTCCATCCAGTGAGCCCTTGGGATCTGCCTGTTTCTGCCTACCCCACTAAAGGCTGGGATTACAAGCACTCACAGCATGCCCAACTCTTCGAGAGGTTGGTGGTGGTTTGAATTTAGGTTTTTATGCTTGTGGAGCAAGCATTCTTATCTACTGAGTCATCTCCCTCAGCTCCTGATGATCCATTTCTTGAAACCAGTTAGCAGTGCTTTATTTTCCTTTAAAGTAAAATATGTTGCACTTGTCCATCAGCTTTTCTAGCTATATTGCTTTCCATTCGCCACGGTTTTGTATTTTGGCATAAAGTTCACCTTCTGTATTATCAAGCATTGGTCCTGTGAACCTGCTATATCCCTCCTCTGTACTAACATTTATTACTATGTGCTGAATGTTTGCCTATTTGCCTGTACTTGTTATTAGATGGTAAACTTTTCTAGACCGGTGCTGCCTTCGTCCTTGAATTCACAACATGCAGTAGACATTCAGCACTAGTTGTTTACACACCGTCAGTTTCCTTGACGCTTTCCGTGAGCTGCTGCCTGAATGGCTGCATTTGGCCACCTTTGCAAGCATCTCATTCCCCTCCCCTCATGGTCAAAAGCAGCACCGCAAAGCGCCCTTTTACAGATACTCTGCAGTGGAGATTTGTATGTACGAGCTTTGGGCTAGTTCTCCCATGAACAGCATCTGCAGAGGAAGTGAAAGAGGCAGACCTGGAAAATAGGGAAGTTAGGCTCAGGAGCAGTAGCAAGTAGGCCTTGAGTGACCCCACAGAGGGCACTGAGGCCTGGATAGTCCTTTTTAGTTGGCCAAATTTTTATATCAGTGTATTTTTAGCTTTTATATTAATGTATCAGCTAGGCATTAGATGCAGGCTATCTTTGAAAAGGTCATGACCTTGGACCTGAAGGTTCTTTTATGCCTTAAAGCTGGGAGTCATTTGTAGACAATAGTCACATTGGGGATATCTATATATATATGGTAGTTCCAGCTAGTGACCTGAACACTGTAACATTATTTACCAGCTGTTGATCTGGGTTCTGGAGTCAGGATGATTTGGGAGTGCCATCATTTGGTAGGTGCTATCCACTGCTATGTTATAAATGACCCCTCTAAAAGAAGAGCTTAAAAAACAGCAGTCATTAATTTGATCACAAGCTTGTAATGTTGCCAGGGTTCCATGGGGGAGAGTTCATTTTTTTCTGCATGGTGTCAGCTAGGATGGGCCTTCTAAGATTGGAACATTCACTTCCTGCTTTCTCACATGGTTGGTGATTTCAACAGGGACCATTTTAAATTTTCTCATAGGATGGTGGCTCAACTCTTATCTATCTGAAAATAGCAAGGCAGAAGCGCAGCACGTAGAAATGACCTGGCCTCAGAAGTCACCCAGCACCGTGCTTGGCAGAGCAGTGTTGTGGTTTGAAGTTTGTCCTCTTCTCTGTTGAAAGTCCATCTCCTTTAACTATAGCAAGAGGCAAGGCCTTTAAGAGATGTTCAAATTGTGAAAGACTTGCCCCTCTGAATGGCATAATGACATTACCATGGAAGTGGGTCATTATAGAGCTCTATTCAATATGATTATCCAGCCTCGGGCACTGTCTCACAGCAGCGCAAATAGCTGAAAACGAATGTCTACATCATATTGCAAGGTTTAAACACAGGAGCAAAAACCATGGAAAACACATCTTCCCTCCGGGTAACTCCTGCTCATCCTTGTATAAAATAAAATCTACCTTTTCCTAGACCCCAAGATTTTGTCTCTTATGTCGTTAGGTACAGTCACTTGAGTATCATTTTTGCCTGTGTCTAGGGAGGAAGTGACCTGCTCTTCTCACATCCAGCATATTATGTGGCAGATACAGAGCACCTCATGTACATGTTCTCATCCCAATAGGGGGGATGGAAATGAAGAATATATAAATACTGCAGGTCGTTGTTTGTAAGTTTGGTCAGGGCTCCTCCTACTCTTTGGGCATGATCCCTCATGTTTTCTCTCTTGTTTTTTCCTCTTAGCCTTTGCATCTTAGCTATATACTCTGAATTATCACTCATCTTCCTTATTTGAAGCTGAGTCATTTTCTCAACTACACTCTATAGTCTAGGCTTATATAATCTTCTATAATGGTTGTTCATTTTCTTCTGAATCTTCAATGCGTTCATCAGAACACTCCTCTTTAAACAGCACAGGGTTGAAGAGTCCTATTCCTGCCTGCACTTGGATCTAGATTTAATTTGCAGGACACACAAAACAAACCAAAACAGAAATGCCAGGGCTGGCCGGGCGTGGTGGCACATAACTACTTCTGGCACTAGAAGAGTTGAGGCAGGAGCATCTACTATTTCATATTGGTCCAAAGTAGTGATATCCAGTCTTTAAAACCCACACAGACACACACACACACACACACACACACACACACACACACACACACACACACCACTCACCATATTTTTAAAGACAACTCAAGAGACA